TGGAAGGGCATGCGCTACTCCCATCTCTACATCATGAGAAATACAAGAGAAAAAGAATCCATTAATGCAACTGCAAACAAACAAAACCGCACAAGAAATTCAAAATAAAAAATGACAAATGTATTGAGTAAATAGTGAAAAAGTACAGATTCAAGCTTACCTCCTCGAGCAGAATGGATGGCAGTGCTCACTACAGTGCCTCTAAGTTTCCAGATCCAAAGAAGCTGCTGGTGAAGATGCCACAGTATCTGGCAGGGCAAGAATATAGCCCCAGACTTTTATAACGTGTACACAGATCTTTGCACAAGGCAGAGTATTTGAAGCAGCCAACCCAAACAAAAAATCACAAACGGGTACAAGCAGACACAACACACCACGGATATCAGGTACCTGCGCAAACAACTGTACTGACGTAATTCATGTCTGCTTGGTGTGGTGCTCTGTCCCCCTCTAGTGGCGGTTAGATCAGCCAGAGATCGATAAGCCTTGGCTAACAGAGGTGTGATTTTTAGCTCAGGCAGCAGAAGCTCATGAATTAAGCTCAAGAGGTCCCAGGTTTGATCCCAGTTGCCAACAACTGGGGTCTAACGCCATTACACTTAGAATGACAGAATAGGTGCAACAACCCACATATGTTCCATTGTGTTCACCAGAGATAGTGTGGCTAGCATGTAGACACACTATTCTGCAATTATTTCCATTTCTTTAATACCAAAGAGCTTTGCGTAAACAAAATCAGAAGAGTTAATCATCTAGGGCATCAATACTCTGAAAACGGTATTAACATTTTCACATGAGCTCAAGTGCCTCTCTCTTCAAGAGAGATATGGGTAGGTAAAACCCTGGAAATGTGGCCTACAAGGCTTAGAGAGCTGAGCATTCTTATGCAGAGATGCTGTTTTAAAAATTAATTCTGTATTCTGTGTTCCTACACAAAACAATTGCTAAGTCTTACCATGATTGTGTCCTTCCTTTAACTGAGCACATTGACTGGATCAAAATTTGGACATCCCAGTACCATGTGTAGGTAACTGACCAGTTGATTCCTGGTTCTCTTGCAGATACTGAGATTTGTATCCAGGTACAACACTGATGCCTATGTTTGAATTTGAATATTTCTCATCAATGTGTTAAACCACTATTGTTAGTTTCACACAAGTTTTGATGACAAGGGTCAATCATCTTTCAGGGATAAGCCTGCAGGTCATCAAGTTTCAAAGAATTCATTAGCAGGGATTTTGCTCTTGATGGAAAGACAGCTGGCCAAAAGATATTCTTTCGTGAATTCTGCACCAGCGGCAAGCGTTCCTTGGGGCAGAAGTAAAATTTTTTTTTTTTAAAAAGAAAATGCTAAGACAAAGATACAAGTGCTAAGACAAAGGTACAAGTGCACGAGGGGAAATTGCCTTGGAGATATTTAGGTTCCAATGTAAATGTAGTGGTTCTTGAAATTTGCTTCCAGCCAATTCCTCAAAAATGTAATCACCAGACCAAATAAAAAAAAGGTTCAGTACATTTTAATAAAAGCTGGTGCTTACACGTGAGAAAGCGCAGAACACAGGGATTCTAGATGCTGGAAAGTCAGTACAGGTTTATTCCACCCATCGCTTTTACGAAGATCTGTTTGATTCACTATCAAAATATTGCACATATTTTTCTATTGAAGACATAGTTTATTTTCATTTTACTTGCACCCAAGTACATATTAAAATATATCCTGAAAAACCAAGGGATTGACTGGCAAAGACTGACACAACACAGTTCATTGGTTTGAACATAACACTTACCTTCCATACATATTTTTGTAAAGTAACTTTTTGTAAAGTTATAGTCATAATAAGACATTCAAGTGTCTACTTGTAGCACTTAGGTTTAGGTTAAGTAGGTGGGATTGAATATTCTATTTACCCCCTGGTCACTTTCTGCATAAAAGCGTTAACTGAACGCTGCTTCTTTTTTTCTATTGAAGAAACAATTGACATACAGGTGATAGCTGTTCCAACACAGCCGATCTTGAAATGCCAGTAGATTGCCACTCACTGAGACACAGAGATGCACACTTACATAAATGTTTCTGCCGATAGGTTACACGAGGCCCAATTTTGGCTTTGATGGCAATCATCTTTGCTTCACAACGATATCAGAAATTGTTGAAGAACTGTTATGTTGATGAATCAATGAAATAATTAAACTTGGGGTAGTCCAAAAATTGACTCGATAAAGAGAGAGGCTATAAAATATTTAGGCTGCGATCAGTCTCTTAAGCTGCAGAAGAAGTGGAACCCAGCCATATTGCGCTGCTCTTTTGTTTGACTGAAGGCAAAAACAATTGCACTGTATACTAATCAGAATTGTAATCTCTAATGACAAGACACTCCCCAAAGTCCTAAGGAAATAACCAGAAGAGATTGTAGTTAAGCTTCCAATGAACAGTCATTATAGACAGATACAAAAAAAGGCTGACAGCCCACAATACAAACTGCAAAAGCTATTCTCTATCATCATACAAACCCTAAAAAAAGATAATGACATTTCATTAAGTCTTGTTTAAATTTGAAGAGTGGTTCAAAGGTTTTTCTCCTCCCATCACTCTTCACTTCACATTGTCCCCTTCCCCCCTCCCAACTTTCTTACCTGAAGAATGGCCACTTCACCTTGTGGTGCAACAGATGTTACTTATTTTAATGGGAACAAAGGATTTCTAAATTGGGTCAACCACTGATTCTATAGGTCCAATATCCCTGCCCCCACAAAGCATACGTAGCCAATACATGCTTCCAAGAAAGAAGAACCATCTATGCCCCCACAGAGCAAATAGTGTTTAATTCTATACATGTGGAGGAGGAAATCCCTCAGCCACATTAGGAGTCAGTTTACTTGTTGCCTTTAAAATAAAAAGCAAACATTCATTCATTTAACTATACTGCATGGGGGTAAATTTTAGTACTGAAAAGACGTTCATATTAATGAAAGATTGTACCTTTGCCTCCTTCTTCTGGTGTATTATTTATAAAACACCATAAATGTGCAAGGCACCTTAGAGATAAAAGGCAACATCTGTGGCCTGAAGCACTTACACTATGCATGGTTCTAACTACAAAGTGCACTTCTCTTCTGGTGTTTATTTGTCAAGATATAAGCAGGGTTAGTTTGATTTTTCTGTCAGGGAGAGGCGTTCATTCCATCTGCAAGGAAGGGGAGGACAGTTCATCGAAACATGCAGCTCAACTGGAAGACAGATGTGACACTTGAGCTTCACAGCAAACAAACAAGGAATATAAAAGAAGGCAATGAAAAGAATGTGGGAAGAAAAAAATATATACATTGACCACTGCCATGAGTGGAGCTGAAATATTGTTTACTTCCCCATCCTCCAATTTTGAAAGTTCTAGCTAACTAGCCTAAAAATATTGCATCCTCCAATTTTGAAAGTTCTAGCTAACTAGCCTAAAAATATCCGTGCATCTCACAACCTGTTACAATTTTTATTTATCATTTGAGTGCTGTAACAAAACAGCTTTGTAATCCCATTGAAAGGAGGGAAAGAGTGGAATTAAATTCATTTGCTATTCTAGATCCTATTGCCAATATTACTTTAAATTGCTTTTGACTGAACCAGAAAGTTCAGGTTAACTGAACAAGAGGATTCAAAAAGTAAATTACCTCGGTACTAATGGCAAGGAAGAAAGATCCCTGATTAGTAAACCCTGTTGGATTCTTTACAGTGTGAAGAGTTGAGAGATGCCAGAACTAAATCAGAGAGGTGAAAATCAATAGGGTTTTAATCAGTGGTGGATTACAGTGGGATTTATTTCCTTGAAACCAGCGGGAGTAGATAAATCCCACACTGAGATTAATTACTAGCAAGGAAGGTGATGGGGAAGTAGAGCAGTTATCTTCGTGAGAGCTATGAGTGGCAAGAAGAACATCAGTGGATCTATAGGGATCTCTACAGACGATCAATATTCCCCCTTCAAATTCTCAGCACTCCCTTTTTAGCTTCTTACAAGGCATCTCACATTAGTGCATGTTTTATTAAATACACAGGACTTGTGAAACTTGTAAGTGTGAATCACTATCTTGGAAGGGGAAGGGGTTAAATAAAAAAGATCAATTTTTATGTCTTTTAAGAAGGTTAGGTGGTCAAGTATTATAGCAAAAGCAGTCGCAACGAACGGACAGATCATATTTTAAGAGGTCCCCTCTATAGGCATCCCAAAACACAAACAAGTTGGATTAATGATTTACAGCCTTATTTTGAAAGGGGTTGAGCGCCCACTGAAGTCAATGGGGGACACAGAGGTGCATCTTTGAAAATCACATCATGAGTGCTTAGCCATTTAATTTTATTCACTTCCCAAGTGCATTTTTAAGGCCTTTGGTGCTAGAAGTTAGGATTTCCTCAAATTAAGGACTAATGCAAAACACGTTACTACAAAGTGACCCATCCAGCAGGTTAAGGATAAGACAGCAGTCAGACAACCCTCTGGTGAACAACATGTAACTTTAGAACCAAGTCCAGAATAAAAAAATACCATGGTTTTGAGCTACTTAAGGGATTTGCTAAATACAGAAAACAAACAGAACAAAGTGCTGTTAGTCAGTGTTTGATTCTCTACCAGCCTGGCAGAAATGTATTAATTTTTTCCCCTTCAGTTTTATGCCTACCTTGCCATTACATAAAGACCAATACCTGTTTCCAAATGAGTTCTTGTACAAAATCTGAGACACTACATTTGCCATGCACAAACCAGACAGGTAGGTCCATTCACTTACTTCTCCGATTACCAATGATAGATGAGACATCTACATCTTAAATATTGGTCACAAGGATTAAACTGTCGGTGTTATTTCCTTCTAGGAGATAGTCCATGAAAACTATGAGAAGTCTAGTGTTCCCTTGATGGTGGTCTATTTTAATGACTGTATAAAGCAAAAGGTTAGAGGCACAACTTTTGCTTCAGTGCATTTTCTCAAACACAACCATGTGTTGCAAGCTGTACAGTAATTCAGAACAGGTTCTTTATTGGGAACATACAAATTCCATACAGATTTCATATAAATTACAAAAAAAAAATCATCTTCCCAGAAATACCTCACTTAATTGAATGTGCAGTCTCTGTGAAGCAAATGAAGTCTCTCCAATTAGTCTGCAATTTTAAAGCAGATCATAAAAATAATCCAAGCCTTGTCCCAGCTCCCAGATGGCTATTCCAGTCCCCAGTTCCTTTGCAAGTTCTAAGCGCAATTGGATGGACTACGAAAAGGATAGAGAAAATAATCAGTTTTTGCTGAATACAAACATTAGGAACTGCATGCAGCCCTCTCTTTTTAGCACTAGATACAATGCATAACAAATTTTTTTGTTTAATTATTTATTTCTTAGGCCCAGATGCCTGGAGACTATAGTTTCAAGTATTCACTGGTCAATAAGTGCAGAGTCAGTTTAGTCCTACCAGTTAGGGCATTTTTTAATGCATCAGCCTAGTATATGCTGACTAACTGGACATACAGAACAGCCTTGAAGTAAACAATATTCTGAACTATGCACTGAAGTATTTTTATTTGGGCTATCACTTACACAGTGTACTGCAATGCACACTTCGAAAACTGTGTCACCAGGAATTTCAACTCTCCCAGAAGTCTTAAACCAATTAACACAACTTGCCACGTAGCAAATATTCTGTGTTTACAGAATGTCATCTCCAACCCAAGGCCATTCTTTTCATCTTTCAGGGCAAACTCACACAGAAAATTACATCTTAAAGGGATACTGTCAGGCTAGTATTTAAGAAAAAAATTATAACAAAAACCCAAACCAAACAAAAACAACAACAACAACAAAAGATTCCTTATCTATGTTATAACCACAATTTTACATTATTACAAATGAAAGAATTTTAGCAATTTTATGTTTAGTATTTCTCTCAGCCTGGACAAATCAAGATAGTATTTTTCTAGTCCACTTTCAGATTCTCTTGCACTAGTGCAATGCTGCAAAGTTTGAACTGCAAACACTACAGGAAAGTGTTTAAAACTTGTTCTCATTGGAATTGGAAAAATCAGGAATATATCAGTTTGTCTTGGGGTTTGTGGCTGTTTTTTACAAAATCTGAATGAGTCAAAATTTGAGCGGACAAGATACCTATCACTACCCAATTAAGATGAAGATGAAGAAACTGGGTTGTGAGGGGGGAAGCTAAAAGACAATTTGGTGTCACTAGCCGATTTAACTGCTTTTATATGAGTGATTTTTCAGCTTTGCTTCAGTGTAGAAATCTCTCTAAACCTTTCATTACAGCCTGTTAAAAATGGAAGGAAAATTCTATTTACACATGTATAAATACACCAATTGCCACAGTACAGCATCTACTATTCAAAGATGAAAGAATACTCGAAAGAATTCTCCAAAATAATTAGAGGAATTATGTTCAAAACCCAGATGGAGTCTACCAATAGTGCGATAAAAGCATTCTGCAAGACCCAGGAAAATGTAGCAGGACAACTTCCACTGCAATCTGTCTTTGCTAAGGTGCAGCTACCCTGGGGTTTACAGCACTTCCCCCCGTGGCTCCACCAGTACTAGCAAGGAAGAATTTAACACAGTGATAAACACTTTCACATCCTGTCTACATTAGGGCCAATGGTGGGAAACGTGCTCATGAGGCTGAAAGGAATATTCCTCTCCCACTTACATAATGCGGGCTTCTGATGCATTCATAATGGTTGAGTCACTTACAATTTGGCACTCTCTTTTCTAAGCTTAATATACTTCCATTATAAGCTCATTTTCCATTCCACTTGATTCTTCAAGTCCTGTCTCTAAGGTTTGTCCACATATAGACTTAATGCACAGCAAGCTGGGGTGTAAATCTATAGCGCACTAGTCTGCCACGTGCACTAACTGGTGGTGTGTGGAGCCTGATACTGTGCACTAAAAGCTCCCTAGTACACTTTGAGCTACATTTCTCTCAGTTTAAAATAGCAGTAGAGGACAAAGCACTTCGGGGAACTTTTAGTTCGTACAAGCAGGGTCCACAATAGTGACTCAGTGTGCAGCAGGCTAGCAGACTGTAGATTTACACTCAGCTAGCTGGGGACTAACTCTCCACATGGAGAAGCCCTAAGTTGATGTGGGAGAATCTAGTGACAGAGTGGCCTCTTGTACAAAAACGAAGGAGGCAAAGCAGTACCCACCATCTTCCCTCTTTTTCTCTTATCCCCTTCTCATCAGAAGAAGGGACATAGACATACCTTTAATGTTGGGTAGAAGACAACATGCTTCCCTCCTTTACTTCTGCAAAGCACAAGAAGAAAATAGTCACTCACCTTTTTGACACTGGGGTGGGTAGATTTTATGAGGTTTTTCAGCTGACAGAGGTTAAAGTTAGTTGTTTTTTTTGCTTTTTTCTCCAGAAAAGATTTGAGAAACCTGAGTTTTTATTGTGAATTCTATTGGTGCTAAAAATGAGAGAACACAGTACTATTGGCACCCAAGAGTTAATATGAAAATAGAAAGTCAGTCCGAGGAAGGGAGCTTTGTATAATGATTTGCAGAAGTAACCTTTGATTCTTTGCATGTTACACAAACCATCTTCAGGATATGTGCACTGTTTAAAGATTTATGATGTAATACAGTATTTCAGTGTCTTTCCATGTAGGTTGGTCTCTTCTTAGGTTATGTCTACACGACAGCTGGGATCAATGCTCTGAGATCGAGCATTGTCGAATTAGAGAGTCTAGTGAAGACCTGCCAAATTGACAGCAGATCGCTCTCCAGTCGACCCCTGTACTCTACCCCCAACGAGAAGAGTAAGGTAAGTCGATGGGAGAATTTCTCCCATCAACCCACGTGGTGTAGACCCCGTGATAACTCGAACTAAGGTACGTCAACTCCAGCTACGTTATTGACGTAGCTGGAGTTGCGTAGCGTAGGTCAACTTACCGTGGTAGTGAAGACATAGCCTTAGCAACTGAAGACATGCAATATATTCCCAGGTGACATACTTCACTAGTGAAGCATATTTTCTGCTCTGGATCATATTAACATTCACCCTAGCTAAACCTCTGTAAAGTGGAAGTGGGGATGGGAAGATGCTAATTCTTTCTTGTAGCTTGGCTAAACCAGTGCAGACAGGATGATCCTCACAGTTGTCAATCAGGCAGCTGGCAGCAAGTCAGGAAGAGAAGGATTTTCAGGCCCACTGTACTCTCTGATTGATTCTCACTTCCAAAAGGCTCACAGATAAGAACGTTCAAAGAACAGATTCCAAAGTTAGGTTATGTAGTGTTGACTATATTCCCCTTGACCCAAGTTTGATTTGCCAGGGGCTGCCCTGGCAGGGTAACTGTACTGAGTTAAATAATGCGATTGAGCCAACCATTCAAGTACAGGATCTCAGATTTGCCTTTTGAGAGCAAGTCTCCATCTTCAGGTGCCAAAACTACTGCAAAAGAAAGGACTTCTATACAAACATTTAGTTAGAGGCATGCTGGGGTTTATTATATCCCATGCTAGTCTGCTGCAGACTAACCTCAAAGCACATTAATGACCTGTTACTACCCTTCAACAGGGTCCACACAGAGCAGATTCACACCCCAGCATCCACAAGCTAGTTTTCATGGAGACAAACCCTCAGTCTTCAGTTGGACTTTGCACGCAGAAGTTGTAAACACAGATCATTGTTTACGGATTTTTTACGCAATATAAAGAAAAATGTAACTGTTTGACATACACAAAGTAATTTCAAAACAGCATACCAAAGAGTTCAAAATGAGAGATGATAGATCAGAGGCCTTCTCTTACAGAGTTACAGAAAAAATACAAAAACTAGTCATTTAACTATTAAATATTGTTAAACCTCCTGCATGGTGTCCTTTTCAGAGAAAGTATAACCAACAAATGCAGAAGATTATGTATATATCTATTTGAGCAACACAAATCCACATCTATATATTATTAATTTATCTTATATCAAAATTCCTCAAGAGGGAACAATTTTGTAAGCTTCTTTAAATAAGGTAAAAAAACAAAAAAACTTTACACTCCAGTATGGCTGCACAGTTGCAGAAAGGCTGGGACAGGGCAAGGATGATAGTGGGGAAGAGGTGCTGAAGAATGGATTAAGTTCTGGTAAGGGGTGTATGTAGTCAGAAACCAAGCAAGGAAATACACAAGGAAGGCTACTGAGCCAGGGAAGCAATACCTGAGAGCTGAATTAGCTGATGAATCGCAACAATTCTGTCAGCTTCTCCTTGAGCAGCTGATTTGAGTTATGAAAATATGGGGAATAATTCCTCACAGTTATATGCAAATTTGAAAAGTATCCTAAGTCTAAAAATGTGAGAGAAGTTTGTGACAACCCTGGTGATTTAGCTTAAAAAAAAAGGAAAAAAAAGTCAAACTGACAGGGCCACATTTAAAAAAAGGGAACGTTTTAAAAAATGTTTCGCCCAAGAAGTTTCATGGGGAAAAAAAAAATCAATTGTTCACTGAAGAATGAAGATGCTTTTTTAATGCGAGGACAGTGCATCACAAAATTTGCTTCATTCATTTATTTGGATTAGTGCATCTTATATAAATTATACTATATTAGAAAATATACTGATAGAATTTTGTAGTAGTAATGACATTTTGGTTATATCATCTTTGCCAAAAAGAGAGGATACACATGCAACTGATGGTCTATTACAAGGTTAACAAATTGGGGTTTAGCAAGATTTTTCTATTATTCCTTTTATCTGCTTAAAATGGTTTTCTTCTACTATCAAGCACTTATTTATTCCTTTATTATGACAAAGGACAAATATTTGTCCAAATAGCCTTATTTGTCCTCTACAACTTTTGTTATTTTGTATACCTCTTGATGCTCTTTTTAAGGCAGTTGTCTTGGTCTTTTTAGTTTCTCCAAATCCCTTTATGGCTCCTCATTTTTATTGCTCTTCACTGGGCCCAGTCTATTTCTGAGTCTGCTGTTCGACAGATCTTAACACTAAGGCTGAGTCTTCCAGGCTCTGTTATTCCTAAAGGTGTTGCTTGCATATAGATATAGATATATATCTATATAGATATAGATATATATTTGTTTGTCAGACTTATGGCAAACCACCTACCAGCTCAGAGGTTGCATCTCAGACTTTTGGTCTGACTGAGGCTTGACAGATAACTTAGGTAGGGATGCTCTGTATAACCAAAATACTTCTGAAGATCTGATCCACCAGACTTAAGTGCTAAAGTTTGTTTTAGCTACGTCTGTTACTTGATTCACCCTTCCCTGCCTTATCTCTCTCCCCGAAACACTCTTTTATGTTCCTATTCATGGCTGACATAGCTGACAAACTGCAGACTCTCAGCATGCTGAATTCAGTCACATATTATAGAAGTAGTAATGCAGTGTTTATGGGACCCAGGCCCAAGAATATTCACAGAGCAGTAAGTAAATGACTGCCACTCACTTTTTGTATTCCAAAGAGTGTTCAGCTATTTGTTCATCCCAAACAATTTTCGGTTTGTTTTCCTTCAGGGTTTCAATGTACCTATAAATTAAAATCACAGGTATAAAATTAGTTTTATAATTATTCTAGAGAAAAGTTTAAACCATTAAAAGAATGTTAAAGCTACTTATCCATCCACGTGGCATATGTATAGAGCAGGCTGAATATTTATTAATAGTTTACTCAACAACATCCTTCGTCAACCATCTAATATATCCTTTCCAAACCAGTTTTTTTTCTAGCCCATTCAACCAGCTAAATAGATAGCCAAATATGCCATTTTTTAAAGCAACTGTTGAATTTACTCATATATGTATTTTCATTATTCAACTATTATAGCATACCCACTCTGGTACTTGAGCACATTTGAGGTCTGTTTCTAGGACACTGACACCAGGGATTTGAACCAAATTCTCCCCAGCTAGCAGTACATAATGTTTACCTATAGGCCCCTACATCAGCAAAAAGATCAATCATTTAAGACTGCTACACCCTGCAGAAAGCCCATTTCCTAAAAGTGTAAGCTAGTTCTTTTCAAAATGAGCTGCTTGTATATGTACTGTGCTTCCTGTCAGCACAGAGTGCCATGGAAGACATTTTTCAAGTTTTGTTTTGTTCGATTCACTTGTTTGGGTACCATCCTTCAGAGAAATGACACACTTGCCATCTGTCACTGTTGGTGTCCTTCCAAGACAGGCAGAACCGAATCATGTCAAAATCTGAATGTGGAGTCCAAATCAAACCTGCTTCTTCAGGAAGGATTTATTTTATTCAAAAAGGCAGGATGGTCCGGCAGTTTGGGGGTTAACCTAGCACTTGGGAAACCCACATTAAACTCTCTACTGGGCCAGTCACTCAGTCTCTCTGTGTCTCAGCTCCCCATCTGTAAAATGGGGATATAGAATTCCCTATCTCACAAGGATGTTGTTAGGTCAATACGTTAAAGACTGTGAGACATTCAGATACTATGGTCATGGGACCTATATAATTATAATAGATATACATTTTCCTCTTGTATATCCTCCTGACTCTTTTCAGCATGAATCTTCTTTGCCCGGAAGGCAGAACGTAACTTTTTATATATATTTTCTGACTGGACACTGGAGTTGTTATTGACTGATAGTTCATCCCATTTCCAAGAGGCACTGCCTTCTTTCTACAGACAATCACAGATTTGAAATCAAATCCCTGCTTGCCAGTGCATCACCTTACAGTGGTCCCTGCAGATTAACCGAGTAGGCAACAAGAGAGCAGAAAGGTGATGTTAATAAAGACTACTCTTATCCTGAATTTCTATTTCTGCAAGGTTGATTAAAACCATCTCTTCCATAACATAGGACTCATTATAGCAGAAATTTCTCTGCTTTGAACAACATTTACAGGGAAAAAATAGACTTTAAATCTTTTTATTTTTAAATACAAAGTTTCCATCACCCAAGTTCAAGATGGCATAACTGATTTCCATCAACCATTATCCTGACCTGTTAGTCCTGAAATCCCATCAAACTATACATTTAAAAGAAGAAAATGATTCTTATTTCTGAGCTTGATAAAGATTTATTTCTCCCCTTTCTTCAAATATTATTCCAAATGCAATTACAGGATTCACTATCACACAGAATATTTCCATCTCTCTGCTGTGGTTTTCTGCTCAATTGTGCGTTAGTACATCGCCGGTCTATGATTCAAATGGCATTTTTACAAGAGAAGGGAATTTAGTTTTGTCTGGTGCATTTCATGTTGAAGCGATCTCAAAGTGCTCCACAACATGACTTAGAGTGTGCTAGTTCAGGAACTGTCAGCAAACATACTGTAGTAGCTATTGTAAGGTCAGCAAGGGCTGATTTATACGGTAGTCTTGAACATTTAGTTTTTCACTGACAGGTAACATAGGACTAAGATCCTTGTTCTTTTTTTGAAAAGTGCCATAGAATCTTGAACTTCCATTTGGATGATCATTAAACATGGGCATCAGAGAGCCAATTTTTCATATTTAAATTCCAGGACAGCACTTAGCACCTTGCCCCATTCCAGAACTGTGGCGTTAATAGTTATAACAGCACAAGTTCTGGCTTAGGACTTGGACCCATGAGGATAAGGCCCAGAGACAAGTGCTACCATCTAAGCCACGCTGATCCACATGGGTCTTCTTTTGTACATGCGAAGCTAGAATAACAAATTCTAATTTCTTTGCTAAAAATTCCAACAGCATTAAAGAGAGTGGTAAACACGCATGATTTTTTAAAACCAGAAATGTAACATATAGCAATCTTCGCAGCCGTGTGTGTGTGTGTGTGTGTGTATTAGGGCTGTCAATTAATCACAGTTAACTCACTTGATTAACTAAAAAAATTAATCGCAATTCATCGCCATTTTAATCACACTGTTAAACAATATAATACCAATTGAAATTTATTAAATATTTTGAATGTTTTTTTACATTTTCATATACATTGTATTGTGTGTTGTAATTGAAATCAAAGTGTACATTGTTTTTTATTACAAATATTTGCACAGTAAAAATGATAAACAAAGGAAATAGTATTTTTCAATTCACCTCATACAAGTCCTGTAGTGCATTCTCTGTATCGTGAAAGTGCAACTTACAAATGTAGAATTTTTTTGTTACATAACTGCACTCAAACACAAAACAATGTAAAACTTCAATGCTTACAAGTCCACTCAGTCCTACTTCTTATTCAGCCAATCGCTAAGACAAACAAGTTTGTTTACATTTACAGGAAATAATGCTGCCCTCTTCTTATTTACAATGTCACCAGAAAGTGAGAACAGGCATTTGTATGGCACTTTCGTAGCCAGCATTGCAAGGTATTTACGTGACAGATATGCTAAACATTCGTGTGCCCCTTCATGCTTCGGCCACCATTCCAGAGGACATGCTTCCATGTTGATGACGCTAGTGAAAAAAATAATGTGTTAATTAAATTTGTGACTGAACTCCTTGGGGAGAATTGTATTTCCCCTGCTTTGTTTTACTTGCATTCTGCCACATATTTCATGTTATAGCAGATTTGGATGATGACCCAGCATGTTGTTCATTTTGAGAACACTTTCACGGCAGATTTCACAAAACGCAAAGAAGGTACCAATGTGAGATTTCTAAAGATAGCTACAGCACTCGACCCAAGGTTTAAGAATCTGAAACACCTCCCAAAATCTGAGAGGGACAAGGTGTGGAGTATGCTTTCAGAAATCTTAAAAGAGCAACACTCTGACGCGGAAACTACAGAACCCAAACCACCAAAAAAGAAAATCAACCTTCTGTTGGCGACATCTGACTCAGATAATGAAAATGAACATGTCAGTCCACACTGCTTTGGACTGTTATCGAGCAGAACCAGTAATCAGCATGGACGTATGTCCCCTGGAATGGTGGTTGAAGCATCAAGGAACATACCAATCTTTAGCTCATCTGGCACATAAATATCTTGCGACGCCAGCTAAAACAGTGCCATGCGAATGCCTGTTCTCACGTTCAGGTGACATTGTAAATAAGAAGCGGGCAGCATTATCTCCTGCAAATGTAAACAAACTTGTTTGTCTGAGCGATTGGCTGAACAAGATGTAGGACTAGATGGACTTGCAGGCTCTAAAATTTTCCATTGTTTTATTTTTGAATGCAGGTTTTTTTGTACATAATTCTACATTTGTAAGTTCAACTTTCATGATAAAGAGATTGCAGTGCAGTACTTGCATGAGGTGAACTGAAAAATACTATTTTTTTTTACAGTGCAAATATTTGTAATCAAAAACATATATAAAGTGAGCACTGTACACTTTGTATTCTGTGTTGTAATTGAAATCAATATATTTGAAAATGTAGAGAACATCCAAAATATTTAAATAAATGGCATTCGATTATTGTTTAACAGTATGATTAATCACAATTAATTTTTTTAATTGCTTGACAGCTCTAGTGTGTATCTATATACGCTATATGGTTAGCTATATAAGCCAAATGAGACATACAACCCTTTTTTTTTTTTTTAAACACAGTTGCTCATTAATGTGCTGCATTTACCACATACAGTGCAGACCTGCACTGAACATAATACTCCTGGGCTTCTCTGGGATGCTTATCGCCACAGTATGCAAGACCTTCAGAAAAAGTAATGAATTTATCTTCACAACAACAGTAAGGTAAGTGGTATTATTCCCATTTTAGAAACAGGTCACAAAGATTAAGGCCAAAATTGTCAAAACTGTCCACTAGTTGTGGGTGCCCAACTTGAGAAACACAGGACCTGATTTTTCACAGTATTTATCAAGTACAATAGAAATGCTATGTTCAAAGTACAGCTATGACTACCTTCAGTTGCAGTTGAGAGTGCTCAGCACTTCCACAAGTCAGACTTCAGATGTCTCAAACTGGCCATCCAGAAAATGAGATCATCTATGAAAAGTTTGGTTTAAAGGACTTGTGCCGCACCAGATAGAAACTCTGACATACAGACGGATATAATCCAATTCTCCAAGACAGATTTCAACTGCCCTAACCCAGATACCATCCCCTCTCTTCCTGCAGCCCCCTGCCTCATCTGCTACTCCACTTGTGCAACAAATGAGGCAGAGCTTTTTGGGGAGGAAAGGTTGTTTTTTATATATATATATATATATATATATATATATATATTTAAAGAGACTACAGCTTCACTCACTATGCAAACCTGATTCATCCCCAGAGCCCAGTCCATCCTGTATACTGAATGGGGCATGGGTCCTGGAAAAAAAAATTTGTGATCTGAAATTAAAGACTATCATGATTCACACACACGGGTCACAGTTTTTTAGTATATGGTTTTTCAAAGTTAAAAAAACTGAAAAAATTAAATTCCATGATATGGAATCAAACTGACCCCATATGGGTCAGCAGCAGAGTTGGAACCCTCAGATCCACAGCATATACCTATCTACCACTTGAGCTAACTGAATAACTGGTAGAGGACAACAGCCTACTATTGCTACCTAGAACTGCCACTAGAAGGAGGATGAGAAAATTTGCCAATAGGTTTCTCGACTGT